CACACACACACACACACACACACACCCTTCACAACATGCAGACTGTTCAGGTTGCACTGGTCAACCAACATGAACTGCCTCAGACCTCCTAATAGAAAAGGTCACCGTCCAACACACTGACAGACATGCACAGTGTGAAACTGACACCAGGTCACTAGCTGTGGATTTGATAGCTAACAAACGTCTTTTCCAGAATTCTGTCTAGTAATTTTACAGCTGCCAAGCACAGCAGGAGACGTCATTAGTCTTACTGTTTACACCTTTTTCGCTGCATTGACGTTTGCCTGCATACATAGCTGTAGACACAATCTCTTGTTATAATCCTCGAGACAATGTCAGCCAAAAGAGGTTTATTAATAACCCGGTTGGGGCCTACAGGGGAGTAAGTGACATGTTCACCCTGCTGGCCCTCCAGCCCATCCATCCCCAGGAGACATCCAGTTATAGGCATTACCATTAGGTGATGGAATACTGTTACAGCCCAGGCATCTCTGCCCAGTGCCAGTTCGTATTGTGTTTGTTCTAACATACGATCTCTCACTCATCACTTGGACACTTCACATAAAATAAGCAATAATAATGATATAAATGTTGAGTTCAGTCTGTATCAGCAGTAGTTGAATTGTGTGTAGTAGATGTGCGCTTTGACTTTTTAGATAAGCATTGTAGTTTGTAACCAACCCCTCAGACATCTACTGTTGCCAGCTTCATATGATTTCAATATCTTCCAAAAATCCAGGCAGTCTTCAGCAACTGATCACATCAGCCAACCACACTTTGTTTGCTTTAAAAACTGGCAAAATCCATTTGTTGATGAATAGTCGTCACTGGATGTAACTCAGGCTGCAGGTGTCTCGGTGGTTAGCACCGTCGCCTCAAAGCTAGAAGGTCGTCAGTTGGCGTCCCGGTGAGGACACCCGGGATCTTTATGTGTGGAGTCTCCATGTTCTCCCCGTGCAGCGTGGGTTCTCTCCGGGTTCTCCGGCTTCCTCCCACAGTCCAGAAACATGCTGAGGTTAATTGGTGATTGTAAATTTTCCGTAGGTGTGAATGTGAGTGTGCTTGGTTGTCTGTCTCTAAGTGTAGCCCTGTGATAGGCTGGTTACCTGTCCAGGTGAACCTGCCTTCACCCTGAGTCAGCTGGGATAGACTCCGCCCCCCACGACCCTAGCGAGGATTAAGGTGTAGAGATGATGGATGGTTGTTATGAACCCTTCTTCTGGTCATTTTAGACTTACATATTGTTGTTTTTATCCCTTAAGGCTTTGATGCGTTGACACAAAGACAGAATGTCTCTCCACTCGTTACTGGCAGCTCGGAGGACAAGTGACTCAAAAAGACTGCAACCAAACTGTTTGAAAAGCAAATTATAACAACCGGCAGTGATGTTCATTATTAAGAGGCCAGGCACAGCCATGGTCTCATCTGGGGTGTCTTTCACCACTAACATCCCCATCCGGGTCAGCGTCTTGTCCAAAAAGTGACATCATGCTTCATGTGTCCTTTGTAAGAGATTTTTAATCCGTTAGCAGCTGGAACCAGTCACGTCCTTTTAGCAGCCCAACCCCCTGTGACTTGAAACATTTCTCAGGAAACTTACTCTGACTGTGGTGACCACTGACACAGTATCTAAGAGGCAGGGTACAGCAACACTCCTCATGCTGACCTCCACATGTGGGCCAATAAGTTGAGAGGGAATTTTCATTGAAGCTTCCTGTGAGTTGACACCTTTCTGGCACCTGGCTCTCTGCACCAGAGGGGCCTCGTTCACTGATGGCTGAGAGTCAGATGCCCCTCCAACTCATTTACCAGAGCCAGAGCCTCCACAAGCTTTAGAAACCATTACACTAACCCTACAGATCCTAGAAATATGGCCACCCTTAGCTGTATGAGGAACTGCGGTGCTCTGAGCAGGTTGTCAGGGCTGAGCTGTGACATTCTTCATAATCGCATATTATTGAGCTTTTTGTTTGCCAAGGCACTCGTTTATCTCTAAAATCTCATCATAAGGCCTCAAAGTGACTGCAGTTGTGCTCCCCTTAAACTACTCACTGCCCAGGAGTATGTATCACAGGAGGAGGACCAAGGTGGAAAACTGCATCGCTGCCTCCTTGTTTCTTTCCACCTCACAGCGATACCCCAATGTCAACAGAAGAAACAGTGAGTTCCCAAATGACATGTTGTTTCACCTCTTGCTGTAGCATGTCATCAAGCACATGCTCAATAAATTGGTCACGCAACAGCACATCAGAGGTGTTTAACGGGCTATGCTATTGGTAAACCCCATTAAGGAGGAGGTAGGGACCACCCACTGCGGGCCACTGCAAAACCCCAGAACACACACTACTTGTACTGAATACAGCCATGCACACTGACAAGAGGACCAGCAAGGCCTGAAGCTAGAGAACAAGAAGCATATTCATTAAACTAGAATTACATCAACCAACTACTATCTCTGTTTTGTCAGAGCGTCTCCTCCTACCAGGCGCTGCTACTGGCTGACAGCTGAATGGAACGCTCTGATGGAGACGGATGCACTCCCAGCTAGATCCCAACTCCAACCCAGCAACTGGCTGAGTGAAAGATTAAACCCTGCGTCATGTCTCAGAGGTCCAACTGCAGAAATGTAAAAATGGAAGACCACCAAGCAGCTGAGCAGAAGTCTTCCAGTGGCACACCACTGACACACCACGAGACTACTGAAGCCACTGAAGCCTCGTAGTCGAAGTTCTGAGGCCAGTTAGTGGGTTAGTAGACGGGCCTGTGGCTGTTTAAAGTGTTGAGTTAGAATTTATCTCATTAAGCTCAAACCTCTTCTGTTCATGCTGTACATAGATGACCCTGTCTCCCCTGTATCTGGCTGTAATGGACATTTTTATGCTGACAGCTGAAGTTTAAGTTTGAGCTATAGTGCGGACAGCTTTGCTCAGCTACAAAGTATACTAAATGAGCATAAATTAGTTCTCAATAGAGATGAAACCAAATGCATGATCATCACCAGAACAAAAAACATTGCTTTTGGCAGCCTGCTCACCTTTACATGGTACAAATATCTGAGAACTTAGATAGATATCCACACTGGTGACTGAACTACAACAATAGGTTTCTTCTTCATGAATAAATCCTGTTCACACTGCATTGTAGAATAAGTCCTACTGAGTCAACAGTTTTAACAGCGCCCTGCTCACTTAGTGAAAGCAGCAGCTGCTCCTGATCCGCATGGTGACAATAACAGAAAGTAGAGGTAGAGATCATGTTTCATATTGTAAGAAAAGTGTTCCTGTGAGCTGTTTAGAACGCTCAGATGTGTTTATGCCCACAGACACTCTGATTCTTACAACTACCATCCAGCCTTTGGTCTGTCATTTGAGCGGAGTGCCACACAAAACCTAAAAAGTTCATCATGTCTTCTATCTGAGCTCTCGTCAGCCTTCTCTGGTTTTGGGATTAACTATTGATCATATGTGTAGAAAACACAGTTATGGTTCTGTTTTCGTTGCTAGTGTTGTTCTTTACTTCAGAACCGGGTGACTTACAGTCGAGTCAAGATATCCTGATGTATCTGTGCCTTTGTTGTTGGTGTGCAGGATCACAATGCGTTTGGATCGTGGAGGATAGAGGGGGTGAGGCCATGGGGGTGAGCCAAGGGCTTAGGAGTGGGAGTGTCTCCTTGGCTGTCATATAAATGGGCTGCCTCTATCTTTATCAGAGTTTGGTGTTTCCACTACTTTGCCAGGCTCTCAGGCCATCACCCTGCACCCGCTTTTCTTTACTCCTTTACTCGGCTGTGAAAACAAGCTAAACCCCGGTCAAGATGGAGGCCATCAAGAAGAAGATGCTTATGCTAAAGCTGGACAAGGAGAACGCACTCGATCAGGCCGAACAAGCTGAAGCAGACAAGAAAGCAGCCGAAGAGAGGAGCAAGCAGGCAAGTTATGAACACAATCCGTCAAAAACCAAGAAGAGCAGGCTTTAATGAACAGGTAGAGGTCGTATACAGGTAAACAGGTGTGAGAGCAAGGGATTCAGATTAGAAGCTAAAACAAAGAATGAGCTCTAGTCATGTGCCTTTCATTACATGTAACTCCTCAAAGTTAATAAGACCAACTCATATACCTTGATCAAACTACTCCTGATTAGACAGACCTGACCCAGCTGACTGCCTGTTGATGCCCAACCAGACATCTTGACTTATAGCTCTGATCTCATTGTGCCCTCTGTGCTGAGGAAGAAGTTTGCTAATACTTGAAAGCTGATACGAGCTGCTGAAACTTTGCTTTAAGTTTCCCGTCTGCTTATGATAAAACTCTGACAGCTACAAATATGTACCAAGCTTTACTATTTTTGGAGCCCCACCTCATCCTGGGTAGCTGGTGGATGACTACCAAGCAGATGCATCGGACATGAAATAATGTGAATATATCTATATGAAATGGTTTCTGTTTGTTTGTCAGTTGTTGAACAGCATCTGAAGCCCTCCTACCTACACAGCTTTCTAAAACAATCAGACTTTTGCTCTCGACTTTATTGAGTGACTGACCAGATCTGTGGCATTGTGAAATGGATCGGGTCTGAAATTCTCTTTTTTTCTTCTTGGCCTTTCTTCCCACAACTCCTTAAGGGTCTTCACCAATGCCTCTGATGAGAACCTGTCCATACATTGCTTCTATCATTTCTTCCTGCTCACACCAATCATTAGGACTTTACTTTCTAAAGACCTCCCGTTATAAGCAAAAAACTTCACAGGTGCGTTTTATGTCAAATCAAATTCCAAAGTTTGCAGTCTGTAGCAGTCAGAGATAGTTTCTGTCTTGTTAGCAGGACATTTCTTCTCAGCACAGAACCAAGAAGATGGATTGTGGCCCTTCCACTGGAAACAGAAAGAGACGTCTGAATAATTACAGCGATCACAAGCAGCTCTTTTAAGACTCATTAAAACGTGACCATATTTTTACCTGGAACACACAACAGTGATTATTTTTCAGGGGAATGAAAATGGCGTTACTTCTGTGAACAGATTCTATGATGAACACATCTTGGACATGATGTTTTACTCCGTCTAACTCTGTAAATGTTCTCTGACACCGTTAGCATGAAGACGAACTTCTGCAGATGCAGAAGAAGCTGAAGGGGACAGAGGACGAGCTCGATAAATACTCCGAGGCCCTGAAGGATGCACAGGAGAAGCTGGAGGTTGCTGATAAGAAGGCTGCTGATGTAAGTAAAGTTTGTAGCATCACGTCATCTATATGGACCAACCAGTTATTTCAGACTGAATCCCGTCTACCACAAAGAAGACCTCAACAGACAAGATGTTTGATTGAATCTGCCTCTTTAGTAGATTTAGGAACCTGTCTGTTTCCTTAGACAAAGAGCACAGGACCAGTAACTGCCACACATTGTAAACCTAAAAATATCCCAGACTTGGTACCGGTTCATACTGTCACAGTGCGGGCCCTGAGCTCAGGCCCCGATAAAAGCCGTGATGGAGCCGCTGTAAACCAAGCCTGTTTGATTCCCTGCTTCTCTGTTGCATTCCATTCTCATCATGCCCTGCATGGACTCATCACAGCTGTTGTGGGGATTCAAATCCCTATTCTGGCTATGATGTCAGCCACTCAACCTTGACTGTGAACTTAACAATGGTTCAAGTCCATTTTAGGTATATCACTCACTGCCCCCTGGTTACTGGATCTGCCAGCCTTTAATTCAGCAGCGTTCAGTTTTAGTCTTGTTACGTCTAACATGAGACCAAACTAAGTGTTGGTCAGCTACTTCCCTCAGTGTTATAAAGAGAGTTCAGAGTCGTCTCACATACAAATAAAGTTATTTAATGTAGCACGCTCTATTGAGACTGTTACGGCAGAACAACAAGCATCTGTAATGACTAGAACCAGAACTCCTGTGGACCGTCAAGCAGCACGCTGATCCAAAATCCACCACAGAAGGGAAAGAAAAGCCTCCATCCTAGATTCCTCCACCTGTGTTCATTCTGTTAGTCCCAGCAGGATTAATGCCACTGTCTTTATACAGGAAATACAGCTGTCAGTGAAACACAGACAGTGTAAAGGCGTGTTCAGGGCTTTCACGCTCAAAACTCTGACATACAACACTCACACAATTA